GTCTTTAATGCTTGAGTGATTTTAATGCTTTTTATCAAATGTACTTATTTTCTCATGGTGACAAAAAAAATTATCTACGTGAAAATTATTTTACAAAATCAATTTCTGAGTGATCTGTGTAGGGTGAGATTTGTTATGTAATTTTAAATTTAGCGGCGGCAGAATACCTAAAACAAATATTGAGTAGGTAGGTATATAGTTGTAGAGCGTACAACTAGATGGCGCTTGCATCTTTTACTGGCTACAGGTAATTTAACTCACTGTATTACCGATAATTCCTAGAAAAGGAAAGCAATAGAAGTTGGAGAAAGTGTCAACAGTTAGCGCTGTTAATGACCACGAAATCTGTTCAAGTTTCCTATCTATAGTATCATTTATCTAGGCAGAATACTAGATAAAAGTGATAAAACTAAAGAGAGAGAGAGAGAGAAAAAAAACGATCTTTTATCTCGTTGGATAAAAGAGAAAGCTTTCCTTTTAGAGTGAGCGATTTTAAATTAATATAATAGATGTCGCACCTCGCTGTTCTGGCGAATAGAAAAATGAAAATTTATAAGCAAGTGGATTGTAGAATAATAAAGATAACGCAAGGAAAGCAATATAATTATAAGCGATAAACTTACCCTTTCCCATTCTCAAAACTGTGAGTATCGTCATGGTGAGAATGAGATTCCCAATGGCGAGAATGAACAGCAAACCCACCAACGTCCAAAAAGCAAAGGTTTTCCTTCCTCTGGCCGCTGGCTTCGTATTTTCCACAGGCATGTATCCAGTCACGAAATTATTGTTGTTGTTGTGTTTAGACACTGACCTATTTAACAACGTTTTGTCTCGAATCGACACTGAATGTGTTTCGTCGGAAAAAACCTCCGAGGTTTGTGGAGAATCCAACATTTTGATATGTGAATCAACTTATTTAGGGTATTTTTTTGTACATCAGAATCACAAAATATGTAGAAGAAAGATTTTAGTGATACATTTCAGCACGTTCGCGATGTAGCATCTGAAACGGTCGATCGCGGTCGTGAGACAGCGCCCCGACGCCGACGCCTAAGCGAATGTCTAAATTTATCGCCATCTCGAGTCTCGACATTGATACCGTGTGGATTAAAAGATGCTGAGAATATAACATTTAACATAAACTCAAAATGCATGTTGTACTCACGCCGACAATGTAGAAACTTGACTGTTTATCAAATCCCTCATAATTTACAGGGCTATTTTAAGAACATGGCTTTTTAAATTACTGAAAAAAAAAATATTTTAATCCAGCCGACTATGCTTAAATGTAATTTCACTGTAATGTTGTCAATGTCAGTACAATAGACTGATCTTAAACGTACTTTTATTCATTAATATATTTAACAAAATTTTTGTGAATAGCGAATTACCAAATTAATTAAATTGCAATGAAGAATTTAGTAAGGACTTTCGTAAGTAAGTAGTACCTTGAGATGGATACGTGTAGGTAATGGGGCATTTTTTTAGGCTAACTATGCGTCAAAAAAGAAGTCGGCCAAAGAAACGGTAAGCTGTCCAAAATAATATTTTTACATAGCGTCGGCTGATTATTGGACTGTTCTATCTCTATTTTTGTTTGAAATGTAATTTTAGCGATAAGGTATTTTAAAATTATTTCAATCTCTCTCTCTATTGAAAAAAAATCAATGAATAAATATGAAAAGCATATTCTCTAAAATAAGTGTTCATTGACTTTTCCAATGGGGATAGATAAAAATAGTCTACAATAATGTTTAACACTAATAAAGTGATAATCTGGAAAGAGGAACGGAGATAGAACAAATCAATAATCCAGCTGACACAGTTAAGGGTACTAAGATATGAAATTTATAAAAATAAGCAAACTAGAGAGCAATTTGAAAAATTCCCGGGCTGATTTTGAAAGATTGTAATTGTTAATGTATTTCTATCGATGTAGTTTCCTCCATCAATGTTTCATGCTTTAATGGTGCCCTGGAAATCATTTTTATTTTTCAAGATTTTCAAAATAGTGGTTTTCAGTTTATCTTACAAAAATCGCCAGTTGCCAAGAATTTTCTTATTTTTGGAAGCATTTGAAAACAAGGAAATCTGAACGTGGTTAAATTTTTGCTAAGGCTGCTATAATTAAAAATCTTCAAATCATTGGAATTAGTATACCTATATTAGTTAAATTTCTATGGTTTAAATACTTATAAAGATTTACTAGAAAAAGGCGATTAATTATTCAAATGATTATCCGATTATTGAAATAATTCAACTTGCTTGGTGTCTGCGTAGCTTTGCTAAGGTCTAACGGACTTTTAGTCAGTATCCCTAATGTAATTAAAAAATTACCTATTTGTTATCTTTTGAAACTTGGAAAAAACACTAAAAATAAATTTTAAAATATTACTTGATTAATGAGTGCCTGAATTGGATTTATGAGTATCATATATTATCGGCAGGATCATTTAAAGCTGACCATGATTTTGCAGTCGCTGGCTATATGCAGCTTATGCCGTCTCGATTTCTTTTAGGTTTATGGGCCGTGGTTACTCGTTGAGATAAATGCATAGATGTCGCTATGAGCCAAAAGTATTTAAAATATTACCGCCGCGAATTTTTCAAATGACCCACTGTTTGTGTTAAATTTTAATATTTGTTTTAGCCGAGAATGCTGACTGCTAAATTTTATATAGAGAATTATGCGGTAAGTAAAAGTTGAGTTAATTCTGAATTTTTTTGTTGCATACCCATGCCCTTAACAATGAAAACAGTAAATCTTAGTTTATATTAATTGCTTTGACAATTTCGAAAATACTGTTAGAAGATATATTAACTAACTCATATCAAAACTGATTTTATTTGATAGGTACTTAAAAATTTGAAGTAGATACTTACCTTTCATAGGTCGCTTATGCACAGATTTTCACAGGATTTTTTTTTTGCCAACTTCTAGCTTCCAAAAAGATTTTCATATCTTTTTTTAACGATTTCTGAATCTGGTAGGAGGTTTGAGAATGGAATTTTAAGAATTATTTTGTTACCTATTTTTATATATGTATTATTTTCTTTATTTAGATATTTTGTCACATATATCCATATATTAATTCAAAATACTTATGCTATTCTCACTAGTAAATTTCTTTCGTACTCTCATTCAAACAGCAATCGAAATATCACTCACAGTTGAAATTTCCTCTAATATATATTTGGTAGAGCTATATATCTAACTACTAAGATTTGTGGTCTGCTGACTACACAGAAAGGAGTTTTCTCATAAATTACTTTTTTATTCTTATAAATTAAATATTGTAAATTTGTACATCACATGAGTTACAATTTTTCCTGGAATGTAGCTTATTTAATTACCATTAACAATATTAATTTTAATATCAATAGAATACGTACTTCTTTGAATATATACACAATTTTGAAAATATACTACTTAATTGATCCTTTAAAAATTGTCCTGTTACATTATTTAGTCTATGTAGAGGATATGTAAGTCTAAATTTAGGCCTGGTAACTACAACACTACACACAGCTATTATACGATATATTAGATTTGAATTTTTTCCCTACTCGTACAGTAGGTTGAGGAAGACAACAAGGCAACTCTTTCAGACAGACAGACGACCAATGATGTTTGTCAATTTGTCCACCTGTCCCGTGTATGACACAGTTACGGTATTTTGTTAAACTCTACCGCCGAAAGCAATTTGTTGACACTATATTTACACTTTCGCCCAATGCTGTTTTCGTTGAAATCTTAGTTTTCAGTAAGGAAAATATTTAATTGGTAGTTATTTTCCTTTATTCAAATAATTGGCCCCTAATTTACTTATATTTTCAAAGAAAGGTTATATCGTCAGGTACAAGTTAAATATTGTATAGGGTCAAGCATTTTTCTAACGCGTTACGGTGAATATATTGAAAAATATTGCTTCAACTAGTGACCTATATAAATATATACTCGAAAGCAACGATACAGGTAGTACAACTAAATTTTTACGGGTTTTGGAGCATTTGGACTTCAACAAATTGTTTCCACGGATTCCCTAGTCCCTACATGTAAATATTATGTAAATATAGTTACGAACATCTACTGCATACACATTCAACAGGCCAGTCCTACCTCTCTACCACCAAAATCTTACTACAAGTTCCTGTGGCGACGCGCTCTCAGCACTCCCTGGGGTCCGCGACGCGGTTAAGGCACGGAAACAGCTACAGACACAGACCGTGCAGTGAGTGACCAGACTGTTATCACAGAAAGCGGTGATTAGACTAGACTATGTTAATAATTAGCAATCACGCTGGTCTGGGCAGACTGTCCAGCCGATTATGGTGCAGTCAAATTAGCAAGATAGGGTCGAGGCGGGTAAACTCCTCCGCAAGTTGAAATTTCGCACGTGTCTCGGACGCCTCGCAAAACCAAATAGTGTCTGATCATAACCCTTATTTGAAAAAATATAAACAGAGGCATAAAGTAGTAAATGAACTGCTAAGGTTTTGTAGGAAAAAGTCACGGATGTGAAATACGGGTTGAGTATATTTGTGATGTTCAACTGTTTTTTTTACAATACAATGTTTAGGCAATTTATTTAATATTCCATATTATTTTTATGTGGAAATGTACGATATGATCAAACACCCTCTATATTATATTCACTACAGGATTTCAAAGAACCCACATGATCAATCAAACAATTCGTTTACGATTCCAAAAAAATATCATCATAGTCATATTAGCATATAGTCAATTAGTCATTAGCATAGTCAATTAAGCATCTGAATCATGCCGTTTTTTAGGGGATGATTTCTAGAATCACATGAAAATCTTAATAAAAAAAAATTTCAAACAAAATTGTTGAAATATTTACATATGGCCAACTTTAAAATCTTATTGTTTATACGTATGCGGTATTCCACGCCAAATCGACCACTTTTAGGGTCAGGACCCTTTTCAATTTGGCTGAAACTTTATTGTTTTCTACCCCGTTGAAAACCTCTGAGAATTTTTTCAAATTTTTTCACCCAACTCAAAAAGTTATGATTTTTTGTAAAATAATCATAACTTTTTAAAAAATTGAGATAGGGACTTTTTTCAAAAATTTTGTTTTTAAATGTACTTTTTGAAAAAAAATACATCAAAATTATCTGGACCTATCTTCACCGTTTTTTTTTCAATTTTTTCCAATTACCATTTTTGAAATTTTTTTAATTTCTTATAAATCCTCAAATTTTTTCAGTGGTTTTTTCGTTTTCTATTTTTTTATTGATTAAAAAATTTTTTTTTCAATTTAGCTTATTTTACACATTTTGAAAATTTTTGAAAATGTATATAGAATTCTAAAATTACAAAAAATATATATATATGAAAGAAATAATTAAGTGAAACATGAAAAAAATTTAGATTTTTTTGAAAAAGTTAAGAAAAAATAGAATATCGTTTTGAATAACTTTTTGTATTTTTTTTTTCAAAAACCATCCAAAAACAAAGAAAATGAAAAAAAAGTTGTTAATTGATCCATTTTTGGACGAACAGTGGGCTTTAAAAAAAGACATGCAACGCACTTGAACTCGAATAAATTATTTTGAAACCATCCTCTTTTGACTTTTTGAAATTGTCATCAATCGCTGCATAGAATAAGAATGATCATAATTAGTGTTTAGTCCTCTTTTTCTCTTCAGAAATGACAAACTAGCAACATATGTATTTATAATGCTTCTTATTCATTCCGATACAAATAACTGTCGTCCAATAATATAAAATAAGCTAAATTTGAAAAAAAAATTCTATCAAAAAAAATAGAAAACGAAAATACACTGAAAAAATTTGACGATTTATAAAAATTGTTTTTTAGAAAAAAGAAATTTCAAATATGGAAATCGGAGAAATTTTCGTTTTTTTTCGAAAATTGTGGAAAAAAAGAGTTGATAGGTCCAGATAAATTTGATCTATTTTTTTTCAAAAAGTACATTTAAAAACAAACATTTTGAAAAAAAAAACGTCACCATAAC